TAGGGTTTAGGGTTTAGGAGTTTAGGGCTCAGGGTTTTAGGGTTTAGGGTGTAGGGTTTATGGTTTAGGGTTTAAGGGTTTAGGGTTTAGGGCTTATGGTTTACGGTTTAGGGTTTAGGGCAGATGTCACTCATGCGAGGTCGACACCCTAAACCCTGAACCCTGAAACCCCTACGCCCCAACGCCCCAAACCCTAAATCGGCTAAACCCCATAATCTAGGACATGTTACCCTTATAGTTGGAAGGTCTATATACCTTATAGAAGCCCTATATACCCTAAACTCCCCGCCTGTACTTTCCTTTAACATAAACTCTGAGACCCTAAACCCTAAACCCTAAACCCTAGACCCTAAACCCTAAACCCTAAACCCTAAACCCTAAACCCTAAACCCCTTAGGGACCCGAAAGCCCTAAAGCGCAAAACCCTAAGAAGGCCTAAAACCCTGAAACCCCGGTTTAGGGTTTAGGGTTTAGGGTTTAGGGTTTAGGGTTTAGGGTTTAGTCACAAAACTCTGAAGCCCCGAAAGCCCTGAAGCCCAGAATCCTAAACCCTTAAAAATTCGCCCTAAAAACCTTAGCCATAAGCCCAAACGCCCTCAAAACCTTAAGCCCTAAATCCTAGACTCCTAGACCCAAAACCCCCCTAAACCCCAAACCCTAAACCCCCAAGCCCTAAACCCAAAACCCTAAACCCAAAGCCCCAAAACCCCAAAACCCTAAACCCTAAACCCTAAAACCCCAAAACCCTTAGACCCTAAACCCTAATCCCTAAACCCTAAACCCTAAAACCCCAAAACCCTTAGACCCTAAACCGGTCGAGAGCCGTCGTACCAGGTCCGCGGACCCCAAGAGAAGACGCGCCCCCCTCTTCGCCCAGCTGTCAAAGGCGGGTTTTGGGGGTTTAGGGGGTTTAGGGGTTTAGGGGGGTTTAGGGGTTTTTGGTTTTTAGGGGTTTTGGGGTTGAGGGTTTGGGGTTTTAGGGTTTGGGGTTGAGGGTTTAGGGTTTTAGGGTTTGGGGTTTGGGGTTTAGGGGTTTGGGGTTTTTATTGTTTAGGGTTTTGGGTTTAGGCGAATGGGGACTTTTGGAAGGGGGTGGCTTATAAGTAATGATAGTAGCCACACAAACTATGGTAATAATAATAGTATCTATGGATCATGGGCTCATACGCCCCGCTGTAGCTTTCCGGTTGAATAAGGAGTGCACCCAGAGACTCCAATATCCCGTAATTAACGAATATACCTAAAATTATAATAGGATCCATACTATGATTTAAGGTATATTCCTTGATTAAGGGGTTTTGGAGGCTCTGGGCAATGCGGAAGTCTTCCTTGTATGCTGCCACGCCGAAGGTCTTTTTCACAGCGGCGGCCAACGAGATGTCTGCGCGTCTCATGACGTTTGCGTCGCGCCCTAAGAACCAGCGAAGAAATCCTAGTCGCATTGTGGTGATGATGACTGTTACTATTGTTGTGATTATGATGGTTTTGATTATGTGAATGTTTATTATCGTGGTCATTATTGCTACAAGTGGAGATATTGCTATCATACCCTAAACCCTAAACCCTAAACCCGAAACCCTAAACCCTAAACCCTAAACCCTAAACCCTGAACCCTAAACCCTATGAACACAAATCCGAGATCATTGCTTGCCTGTCAGCCCACCGAGGCCACATGAGCTCAACAGCTGCCTTGCAGCTTTCGTGCGACTCCGACTCTCTTTGGGTTTGGGGTTTAGGGTTTAGGGTTTAGGGTCTAGGGTTTAGGGTTTAGGGTTTAGGGTTTAGGGTTTAGGGTTTAGGGTTTAGGGTTTCGGGTTTAGTTGAGGGCGATTTCCAGTGAAGTCTGGGGCGCTTCCGATGTTACGAACCAGCGCGATCCACCGGCACACTTCTGCCGGAACTTGTCGATTCTGCAGACCCTAAACCCTAGACCCTAAACCCTACATCCTAGACCCTAAACCCTAAACCTACCTCGCATGGCAGGTCAGTAGGCTTTTCCGAGCACAAGTTCTTTGCATCAGTCGGTCTCGGCCTAAGCAAAGTTCTGCAGTTCGAAGCTCTCTGCTTCCACGGCGTCGTGCGCTGTAGAACAAATAAGATCATTGCTGTTATTCTTCTTATTCGTATTATTGTTATTATTCGTATTAGTATTCGCAGTATACGTGCTGTTACTATTGCCAATATGATTGACTTGTTGGGTCGATGAGACTGAATGAATTCCCCTTCAGATTCTCAAAGATCAAGTCGAGCCCCTTTGCCCTTTCATTGAAAGCCCTAAACCCCAAATTCGGAATCCATGCAGCTCTAAACCCTAAACCCCTAAACCCTTAAACCCCAAACCCTAAACCCTTAAACCCCTAAACCCAAAACCCTTAAACCCCTAAACCCTCAAAACCCCTAAACCCTAAACCCTTAAACCCGTAAACGCTAAACCCTTAAACCCCTAAACCCTCAAACCCCTAAACCCTTAACCGTAGACCCTTAAAGCCCTAAGCCCTAAACCCTCAAACCTCTAAACCCTCAAACCCCTAAACCCTTAAACCCCTAAACCCTTAAAACTCCTAAACCCTAAACCCTAAAACCCTTAAAACCCCCCTTGGACTCCTGAACCCTAGCCCCTAAACCTTTAACCCTTAAACTCCTAAACCCTACACCCTTAAACCCTTAAAACCACCCTTAAACTCCTAAACCCTAAACCAGTAAAGCCCCTAAACCCTTAACCCTTAAACCCCAAAACCCCTAAAACCCCTAAACCCTGAACCGGTAAAACCCCTAAACCCTTAACCCTTAAACCCCTAAACCCTTAAACTCCTTAACCCCTAACCCTTAAACTCCTAAACCCTAAACCAGTAAAACCCCTAAACCCTTAACCCTCAAACCCCAAAGCCCTTAACACCCCTAAACCCTAAACCAGTAAAACCCCTAAACCCGAAATCCTAAACCCTAAACCAGTAAAACCCCTAAACCCGAAGTCCCCAAGACCCTAAAGACCCCTAAACCCTGAACCCGAAATCCCCAAAACCCTAAAGACCCCTAAACCCTGAACCCTAAACCCTAAACCCTAAACCCTAAACCCTAAACCCTAAACCCTAAACCCTAAACCCTAAACCCGGAAACCCCAAAGGTCGGGCTGCCCTGGCCCGGCACAGCAGCTTCGCTCCGGCGGAGACCTCAACGAGTTTTGAAGACGCCTTACATGTAGGGTTTAGGGTTTAGGGTTTGGGGTGTAGGGTTTGGGGTGTAGGGTTTAGGGTTTAGGGTTTAGGGTTTAGGGTATAGGGGTTTAGGGTTTTGGGGTACTCGTTATCAGTATTATGGTTACTATTTTTTGGTTTTTGTTAGTTTGATTATGATTATCATGATGTGAATGATGTGTATCTATGATTCTGCTTATTACTGTTTTTATTCTCAGGTTCAACTGACAGCCTTGCTGGCGATCCTCTCGGAGATGCGATTGGCCGGGGTCTCGACTCCGCGCAAGCCGAGCGTTTCTGTTTCTTGTGCTGCCTGCCTTCCTTGGCCGGAAGTTCGGCTGGCATCTTCCATCCGAAACGAAAACATGAAACACCGGGCCGTTTGCTGCTAGGAGGTTGGAATACTTTCATCAGGTTGATGGTGGCTCGAAAAGTAGCACAGACGCCGACGCTTTGGTTTTGCGTTTCAGGTGCACACGGATCTTTTCAACGCGGCCGCAACATTCCTATCTTCACGGACGAAGGCCTTCATACGTTGCAGTGTTCATGTCCTCAAGTAATTCTGATACGGCGGTTGTCACCGTTTGGCGGCAAGTTTATCCTATGCTGTGCAGCCTTGCAAGAGTCTTGGTTTCGGTGCAGGAGTTGCGGCCGGTGGACATCATTCGTGTCCTTCGGTCGTTTGCCAAATGCAACGCCTGTTGCTGAGCGAGCATGGGATGTTGATGGTAATAATAATTACAATACTACACTACGGCTGCTACTAATACTATTATTATTACTAGTATTATTATTATTATTAGTAGTAGTAGTAGTACTACTACTACTACTCCTACTACTACTACTACTACTACTACTACTGCTACTACTTGTATTGATAGTTGTCATAGTACGCAAATTAGTAATACTAATAATAACAGGCTCTTAGTAACAACCAAAATAATCGTCAGAGCCACCTGACTATTAATGAGAATGGAAAGAGCAATAGCGATAATTTAGAACATACACATAGTACTCACAACAATAACAATAGTACTAACAATGATAAAATATGAGAACAATAAGAATAGTTATACATAGTAGTAGTAATAGTCATAGAAAAGAGTACAAATATTAATAATGGTAGTAAGAGGAAAATATTACTAGCAAACATAATAAGAACAATGATACTGATAAAGTAAAAAATAGCAATAATAAACAGGAAGCCCGTAACAATAGTAATAATAAAAGCAATATTGCTAACAATAATAACAATGATAATACCAACAACAGCAAGATTCGTAATATTGATAATACTAATAAAAGAAACATCTGTGCCGGGGACATCACGGATCGAATTCCTTTGTGATCGAGTTTGAGATCGATGTTTGCAGGAATGCCGCAGCACAAAAAAGGGGCCCTAAACCGTAAGGCCCCTAAACCCTAAACCCTAAACCTAAACCAGTCAGAAGCTGTCCGAATTCAAGGTCCAGCACCAGGGTCTTTGCAGAGCTGTTGGAGACGAGGCCTGACATGCTTTTGGGGTTCTAGGGTCGGTTTAGGGTTTAGGGTTTAGGGTTTAGGGGTTTGAGGGTCTAGAACATCGGGTTTAGGCTTTGGGGTTCAGGGCTTTGGGTTCAGGGACTTATCCCCTCCACCAGGTGCGCGTCCTACCCTAAACCCTAAACCCAAAACCCTAAACCCTAAACCCTAGGCGAGGTTGGATGTGTAGGCCTCGCACGAGGCAGGCTTTGCGGAGCAAAGGCCAGTGCACATTTAAAAGAAAACCTAAACCCTAAACCCTGAACCCGACCCTGTGTAAGGTCATCAGCCGGGTGAAAGGAGGTGTCAACTTCCGCGCTGAGGCAGTGCCCCGCATGACGTGCCAGAGAGTGTGGTGATTAGGGTTTAGGGTTTAGGGTTTAGAGTTTTTCGTGATGAGTGTTGATGAACTTATTCAATGTGCAAGGCAGTCTGTGTGAGAAGCAGAGGAAGTTTGTCAGATCTCCCTGCTCCTCGGAGGACCTATGCGAGATCACCTGGGCATTGTGCGTGCTGGAGCATTTCAATCCAGCCACCCTGCTGCAAGACTCTTAACGGGACATGGGCTGTTTGGTTGGATATCAGAACTACTACTACGACCAGAAGAATAGGCTTGTCATGATTGCAAGATACTGCTACTACAACTAAGTATGGTTACTGATATCAGTATTATTGCTACTTCTATGAAACCCTAAACCCTAAACCCTAAACCCTAAACCGTTTCTGATTATGAACAACTTCAGAGCCACAGCTGAGGGCCAGCGCAGTGCAGAGAGAGACTGCGCGGAGGGTGCGACTCTGCCTTGATGCTGCCAGGATATCTTCGAGATTTTGCTGAAGGCACCAGGGGCACTGGCGTGTTTTCAGGGTTTAGGGTTTAGGGTTTAGGGTTTAGCGAATTTAGGGTTTAGGGTTTAGGGCATTTTGTAGGAGTAGAGTACTTTATGGTGCTGAGGCTGGAGGGAGCATGACTGCAGGCAGGCTGGTAAACATGATCCCCAAACCATCCTAAACACCAAAACCCCAAACCCAAGAACCCGAAACCCAAAGCGCCCTAAACCGCTGTCCTTTTGGCAGGCGCTGAGAAAGGTGCCCGTGGTCCCTTCAGATGCGCTCACTCAGGTCGCGTGCGTTCCCGTTTCAGTTGCTTGCGTAGTCACGTGGCCAGCTGCCAGGCGTACTTGGAGGTTCATGGGTGGGGTTTAAAAGCAGGGTTTTAGGGTGTATAAGTAGGATAGTATTATCTTTATAACACATGTTAGAGGACTTGTATCTCCACTTATAACTACCAATGAACCTCCACGTAGAGTCAAAGTAATATTAGATATAGCAATCACAGGAATAGCAACAGTATGGGAGAAAACAGAAGTCATAATGGTAGAAATCAGAAGTCATACCATTAATTACGACTTCCACTTCCACTTCCACTTCCACTTCCACTTCCACTTCCACTTCCACTTCCACTTCCACTTCCACTTCCACTGCCACTGCCACTACCACGACGACTACTACTTCTACTTCTACCACTACTACTACTACTACTACTACTACAACAACAACTACTACTACTACTACTACTACTACTACTCCTGCTGCTGCTGCTACTACGACGACCACGACCACGACCACGAC